CCAAAATAAAACCCCCCCCTCCCAAAACCCCCCCACCCCCCCCCCCGCCGACCCCCTATTGCTCCTTCCCCATGAAATCCCAAAGTGACTCAAGACGGAAGGGGGATAGAAAACATCGAACGGGGATACGGACTATCGCGCAAGGGGAGATTCGGTGCTGCGAACGTTGCCCTCAGCTTTTTGGGGAAAACGCTTGGAGAGCGAACTCTTCGAGCATGCCCCGATTCACTGAAGGACGATGGAAGGGAAGCTTTCGTTCTTCTAGCCGAAAGGTTTCGCAGGCTCCTGATAAGCAGGGGGATAGGACAAAGTCACCCCGTCCCAGCTGTGGGGCAATTGCGCAGCTGGCTCTGGAATGTCACACCCTACCTGCCGAAAATGCCCCCAGCAAGAGGAGAAGGTGGAGAGCCCGGCCAAGGAGCTGCATTCCTGCTTCCTTTCTCTTTCCCCTGCTCCTCTTTTCACCAGAGCAGGAGGAATGCAATTCTGCTAGGGAGTTACAAAAGTTTTGGCTTTCTCCCACTCATGTGACAGGCTAACCCCTCCCTGAGAAAGCAGCTGAGTTTTGGGAAAAGTCAAGCTAAACCCACTTATACCCATCTCAGGTGACGAACAGTCAGCCGAGGGCTGAAATCCTGCTTATCTTAAATTATTAGTTGGTTTAGGCCAATGTGTGAAAGGGGCAGGTCAGACAGATATTTTAACCTTTAAAACCCCAAACTCCTCCCTTCGTGGGCCTCGCCCAGTTTTGCCAGGCCAGGCAACCCTCACTGGCACTTTCCTGCATTCAGATCTGGTTTTAACATTCCTAGAAATCTTCCTGTGGTTGGTTTCCTTTGGGCGATGGCACCGGTCAAGGGCAGGGAGACCCACCATTGTTTTGCAATTGGGATTTTTATGATAAAAATAAATATCTTTACGAACCAGACGAGAGACTTCGGTTAAAAATAAAGGATGTTGTTCTCTTATGTCTAGAAATGATGTACTCGCTGTTTCCTATCCTGTTTCTCTTATATCTACTGTATCTATCTTCTGTTGCTTATCTATGGTTTCTATTACTTATAGTTCTGAAGGGCATTATTTTGATACACAATTTTATATTTTTTATATATATATGAAATATATATATATGCTTCACATAATGTATAACCATACCTGTAACAGTGCACTCTATTTTAT